CAAGAAAACTTCTAGTATTTTTGACAAAACAGAAAAAACTCCTGAACATTTTATTGATGCTAGCAGCCTGCATTTAAGTGCAAGTTAATGACAAGTATTTTTCCATTCTCTTTTCAATTGAGTCTACTGAACCAAAGAGCCAGCAGTAGCAGCAGCCATAGTGCAACAGTGGTGACCCAGCAGTACATTAAGTGACACCACATAAATCAAGCTGCTTTGTTTTCCCTGGAAATTTAAGTAATTTTATGTTAAGCAAGTATCTTAACACTTTTATTGAACGGTAACTAAAGTAACTTGACCTTGTAACTTTTCAAAAGCCCCACAAATATTATCAGATAATAAAATTGGAAAATATTTTCAACCTTTGATGGGTTGTGTCTTGGGTCAAGCTTTTTAAACCAGCTGCTTAAAATTTCCATCCACTCCATGTGACCTTCCTGTCATGTGGAGTGCAGCTAGCTATGAACTAGCAAGTGCAAATACCCAGCACAACTAGTCAGCGCACCAACAACACATGTGGAGTCATGCGCCTATATCTGGGTTGACGTCCAGTCACCAAATGCTGGTATCTCCTACTTGTAGCCTGGTTATACTCAACAGTTTGTTTTTGCATCCGGGGGTGAAACGAGGGGTTTTCACCTTTTGGGGGGAAACATTTTCTTGCATATTCTGCAAAGCACTGCTCATGATCGAAGGTTATTAAAACAGCTATTCTTTTAGATGCTAAATTATGACATGGTGCTGTTGTGCTCTGATGTGCCTGGGCTAGTTTGTGTTATGTTGCTATAGCAATGATATCACAATAACGATAGTATTTTCAGATATAATAAAAGATTTAGGGTATATGGCCCAGCCCTATACCAAACTTCTACCGTACATTAATAAATATAAAGTACTAAAAATTCTCCACAGGAACATTTTTATAATTCTCATTCTTAGGCTCTCCTTTTCTTTCCCCTTCATTTGACTGTTTCTCCCTCGTTCACTGTATTCCTCCGTTCTCCGACTCGCTTGTTTTGATCGACAGTGCTTTCCACAGGATGAAGTGTGACATGTGGTGTGTATGTCAGTGTCTGTCTCACTGTTTACTCTGAGCTAATACTGACTCACTCCATTAATCTGAGCTACAGAAGATCCACTCCAACCTGCCCACTTGAGAGCGTGTGCGTCTCTGTGTGTTTTAGGTGTGTCTTCACAGTGAACACATGCACGCACGTCTTCCTTGTGTTTGTGTCACCCAATATGCATTTTCCTGTCTGAATGTGTGCGCGCACGTCTGTTGTGCATGTGATGTAATAGAACGAGGAGTGAGCGTTTGCGGGCCAGAGCTTCCAGATCGATGCAGAGATGCTTTATGTGCTCCTGTCTGCTCTAATGATGTGTCTGTAAATTAGCAACAGAATAGTGGAGCGCTACACTGAAACCTAATGGCACCTCTGTAAATTACCGCTACAATGCTGCTGGACGGCTGCGTGTGTTCCCATTGTGAACAACACGCACCCACCCCTTCTCGCTCTGCCACCTCATCTACATTTGGCTCCGTTTGCGTGTGTGTGTGAGAGAGTGAGTGAGCATGTGTGATTGTGTTAACATTTGTGGCTGGTCTTACTGTGTACGTTTGTGTGTGGGGGTCTCCTTTTTCTTCGCTCCTCTCAGTAAAGACTAGCCCGAGGCCCTGAGTTGGTAATAGCTTTTCTGACAGCAATACACCAATATTTACAGAGACCAGCACCCACCCACACCCCCGCACATTTCATGCACACATAAAAAGCATATAGTTGTCTACACTTTCAAACGCTTGAACGCGAACTCGCACGCAGTTTTTCTTTTTCTCTTTGAGGCATGCAGACACATACTCTTAATTAACATGCTGGGAGGGAAGGAATCACACAACACAATGTGTTGTTTCTCACTCATATATTGGCATTCACACTTTGGATTTTTTTTTTCATGCAACAAAAGCAAAGAAAGACAATTTGCCACAATTGGCCTTTGAATTGTGATATATTCTCACTTTTTCCTTCTCATTATTCTCTCTGTGTTATATTCACTCAAGTGCGGCCGATTCCATTTCAACATCCCTCACTCTGCCTCTCACTACCTTAATAACCTATTACACTTCAGTCTATTCATTATATGGCATCTTTCCCCCCCTCTTCTCCTCTCCAGCGGTTCCTCACCAAGTGTCTCTCCTGCTCCAGCTTCACCTAGCGCGTGCTAAATCCTCCTCTGTTCCCCTCGTCATTGTGAACTACAAGATGGTGGTTATGCCAGAGGCTCCACAGAGCAGAGAAAAAGAGGCCAGTGAGATGTGAGGAGAGGAATGGTGGCATGAGGCCAGGAGGGAGGTGTGAGAGCTATAGGGATGGTGGTGAGGAGAACGCTGGAGCAGATGCAGAGGAAGGGTGATGTTTTTGACGGTGGGGGGAGGTGAAGAGACAGATAATGTTGCCCCTACTTGTCTATGGCAGCACGATAGTATGATCATTTTTGCGGATGTGTGCGTAGGTGTGCATATTTGTTCTGCTGCTGGCTTGCGTATAGAGTAGTGTGTGTAGGTGTGAGAGCAGATAAGTGAATGCGAGCTTAAGTATGATGGATTGTAAAACCTTGGTCTAGTGTCCTTGTGGGTCACTAAGGGTGTGCAAGGTAAGTTGCTACTGGCTGTCTGCCTGTTACTGAATTCTAATTGGCCACTCCTGCCTGCTTTGGCTGCCATTATGCTTGCAGGCTGTTCTTCTCCATCTTCATCGTCGGTTTTTGCCATTCACTTTTAAAACTTCCCTAACCTTTGCTGCCGCCACACACACATACGCAGACACATACACATTTCTGGCATTTAACAAACATCATGAAAGGAGCCATGTTGTCAAACAAGAGCACCTCACTTTAGACTGCCAGCACAGCTGTTCTCTCAAAAGAGAGGCAGGTTTCGTAACGAGTTTGGAATGCTACAGACTCACGACTGTCTCCCTCACATCCACACTGTTTAATCTCTAACCCACATGAATGATCAAAGCTTGTTTACACACCACTCTGTGGTACAATTAGAGGTATGGAAGGAAGTGTTTCTTCCAAGTGCTGGCATCAGTGAGGCTTTGCTTGACAATAACAGCATTTTCAGCATCTTAAACAATATGTTTTGTACTGCATATCCGAATCAAATTTAACCAGGCCCAGCTGAGCTTTGTTTTACTCAGCTGGCTCTGATGAACACCCACCATTTTATCATCTTTGAGCATTTTGTGAAGAGCAGTGTGGGAAGAAGCAACATAGCTTGGAAAATGTATTACTCATTATGATAATGCTTTGGCAACAACGTAATGGTTCCATGCTTCTGTTTCCTCCTCTTCTCCCTCTTCCTCCTCTCCCTTTGCCTCCCAGCTCGCGAGGAGTACGTCGCCACCTTCAAGGGCTCAGAGTACTTTTGCTACGACTTGTCGCCCAACCCCATCCAGTCTAGCAGTGATGAAATAACGCTCTCCTTCAAGACACTGCAGCGCAATGGCCTCATGCTGCACACCGGCAAGTCAGCTGACTACGTCAACCTGGCGCTCAAGAATGGGGCAGTGTCACTTGTCATCAACCTCGGCTCTGGGGCCTTTGAGGCTTTGGTGGAGCCCGTCAACGGAAAGTTCAACGACAACGCTTGGCATGACGTCAAGGTCACCCGCAACCTGAGACAGGTAACCAAACAACAGGAGATGGAGGAGTGAGCGACAAAACAGAGAGGAGAGGAGACAATTTATGTTACTGATAAGGCTTTTGGGAAGAAACATTTAAAGTCATGTAGAGAGGGAAATAAAGATAACAAGGATGAATGGACGTTTTAGTGATAAAATGCTTGGCAAATGGCAGAATGAAGTAAAGCACAATTTGAAAATATTTTAAGATGTCAAGATAAAAAAAAAATTACTTGTTCCAGCTTCTCAAATGTGACAACATTGTGATTTTGTTTGTTTTTTTATTTCATTAGCTTGTTTGTGAAGTTTAGACTGACCAATCATATAATAGAAACACCTCAGCTGGGGTTTTCAGAAACTTTGCATTTAATGTCTCTTATTGTACAGGATTGCATTCAGGCTATAGGTGCGGGCAACCCAGCTCTCCTCATATCTCGTGGCACTGATTCTCTGACGAGATGCAGAGAAGCCAGAAGAAGCAATGATAAAAAAAAAAAAAAAAAAACGTGTATACTAAAAGGCTACGCCAAAACAATAATTTAGTTTGGCTGAGAAATAATTGACTCATTAACCAAATGAAGATGTTTATTAGTTGCAGAATTAATTCTGACTCCTTGTTAAATAGATTTGCTCTGTATTTGACTTTGATGAACCACAGTGCAGGTGTTCCAGGGCCACACGGGGCTGAAAAGACTGTAGTCAGCAGAAGGAAGCTAAACAGTGTAGAAACCATGGTCAGTGGTCTGTTGTCCAATTGCAGTGATGCTATGGTAGTAAGAAAATACCTGAGGTTTTGGTCTTAGTTTACAGTGGCTTTACCAGCAGACCTGCACTGCTCTCAGCTCTAGGTGAGTGCTTTTTCAATTGTGTGTTTGAGTGAGTGAATGACTGAGAGAGTGAAAGAGCGAGGGAGTGGACTAGAGAACATACAGGGTCACTAGCACCCAGGTGCTTGTAACCTACCTGTGCCCTGCCTCTACCGTTTGCCTGTCTGTACTACTAACTTGACTACTAACTTTACTAACCTGCTAGTGAAACTAACCACCATCCATGGAATGATTCATTCTACTAACCTAACCTGTGCCCTTCTCCTAGCGAAACCACTCCAACCAACCTACTAACCTCACCAGAGGCCTTCTAGCTTTCCTTTTTTTGTTCCCGAGGTTGTTCTGTTCACAGTTTTTTGCTTTCCTTTCTTCCCCTCTCCTACAAAGCACTCAGGCATTGGACACGCTATGGTAAACAAACTCCATTGTTCGGTAGATATCATTCTAATTGTTTCTTAGTTTGGGTTTGCCCCGTGTCTATTTCCTTTTGAACCATAGACATCAAAACTAAACCAATAACAGGATAAATGCGGTTGGTAATCTTTTACGCTTAAAAAGCCCACATCCACCTTCCTTGCCAACCACTTTTTTTCTATAAATCCTTTCCCCCCTTACTTCTACTGTTTTTATTTTCACCCCATCACTTTGTGACTGACATGTAGGCCCACGCTGATTGGCTCATCCCTCACCTGCACGCAAATGACGAGCCCTCCCCTTCCCCCATCCTGCATGGCGTGACTCAAAAACCCTTCCCCTCTCTAATTGGTCCGTAAAGTGGATAGAGAGGTTCCTTCCCTTCTTTTTTTTAAATTCTTTTTTCTTTTATTTTTCACCAATCCTCCACTGCATGTTCTCCATGGTGCCTCTAACTCATCCTGTCGTATGTTGTTGGAGTTTTTTTGTATTTTATTATCTATTGTGTCCTCTTTGCCAGTGCTTGCATGCAGAGAGAGGAACAGACTGCATGTTTGTATATTTATGTGTGTGGAATGAGGCGTAACCCATCTAACACCTGTGCGTGTGTGCATTAAATCTGTGTGTTTGTCATCCTGATTCGCTGATCTAACAAACCCCCCCCAGACCACTAACTAACCAACTAACACCATCATCACAATTCACCCTAACAACACAATAACATAACATCATCACAATGACTAACAGCATTGAAATCATGAACCCTGACCTCAGTAACCCAACACAGCTTGGCCTGACACAAGTAACACTTCTGTGGCTGCCAGCAGTGCAACAACTAACAACTACTAACAAGTAAATAGTACTAACACCTTACTGCATAGCACGAAGATGCCTGCGGAGACTTACTAACACCTGACTGGCTGGGCACGTTTGCCTGGCAATGATGAGCACCAGCAGTCAGAGGGAACTTATTGTAGTGGGGAAATAAAGAGCTCACAACCTTTATGGGCAGCCAGACATGGTCAGTAATGTACTGTAGAATATCAGAGAGTGATAATGTACCACTAACGGTGACTTGAGTGTGACAAGATTGGATATCAGTGACACCTAAAAGCCTCTGTACAGGCTATTACACACCAAAATGAGCTGATTAAATTATAAGAGCACCAGTGTCACTTTAGGCAAAGCATTTAGGAAAAATCTTGTTAGCATATTAGGAAATAAATCAAATTGCGTCTTCTGCCTAGACCGTAAAGCAGCTTAAGAGTATGAACCATAAACATAAGTTGGAAAATTTCACTGATATGGGTTAAGTTGGCTTTTCCTTTAATAAACAAGGCTAACCTTTTAGCAAAATCACTATGGTTTAGTCTATTTTTTACCATGCAGTCACAGAATAATAAACTGCCTTTGAAGTCTGGGTACCGAGAGAATTGTGGCCCTGAAGCTTTGGGTTTCAGCAAAACTTTATTAATCGCATAGAGAATTTACGATAGACTTTTTTGCTCTTGATAGGCTGAAGATAGAAGATTATACCGTTTTAATTCTCAGAGCGCACAAAAGAAAATGAGAGTTTACCACTACCTGCAGGAGTGAGCGGTATTTAGCAGTGCATAGTTACATATTTATGAAGCCGGTTATATCAGCAAAGCCAAGAGGTGACACTACTCAGTTACACCACACAGCCAGCACTGATCCAACTGCTGCGAATCAAAGTGGCCAATTCCCAAAACCAATCAGGCCTTCTCCCTGCCAGAATGCATATAGATTGGTTACCAGAGCAACGGGGGCTAATTTGGCTGGTCAGCGCCTAGCTAGCGCTTAGCGCTGCCTTTGGTGTGAGTATATAGCGTGTCCTTTCCCTGTGCTTTGTTGTGTAGGTGACCATCTCTGTGGACGGCATCCTGACCACCACGGGCTACACACAGGAGGACTACACCATGCTGGGCTCTGATGACTTCTTCTACGTGGGAGGAAGCCCCAGCACCGCTGACCTGCCTGGTTCTCCAGTCAGCAATAACTTCATGGGATGTCTTAAAGAGGTGGGGCGCATGCTTGATAGGGGAAAAAAAACAACCTAATTATTTGCATAGGATAAAACTTTGCATGTGTAAAACGTCTTTCTAAGTGCTTAATGTTCTCCACTTTGACCTAAGGTTTAAGAAATATTCATTTAAACTAAAATAAATCTTTTCTTTCTTCTGCCACGCATCACACAAACATTTTTACACACAATATCTTATAAAGCACACATACACCGACATGCTTCCATTTGGCAGACTCACACAAGTAGTCCCAGACACACACGCACACACCCTCCCCAGCATCAGAGAGAATCAGTGATGAGTGTAGTTGAGAGAGTAGATACAGAACTAAGCACTAACATGCTAATTAGGTACGCCACAGAGATGCTCCATCCATCCACTGTGCTTGAGATGGGCCACAGCACCACAGAAACAAAAACTCACACTGCACACATGCATGCATGCACAGAAAACACAGTCGTAGTGTAATATTATATGCCCAAATATTTCCGCTGAAACAGTTGCTGCACGCAAATAAACATACGTATGGATACCCAGAGCTTGATACAACGAAACTCCCAAAGACATCCTCATGCCCATCGGATACACACCCTGCCTGAGTCTCCCTTTCATTCACGCAGATTCACACAGAGGCATAAACAAACAACCAAACAAGCCAACAGATGATGTGCCAAACAGAGAGCTATCTGTATCAGTAGTGAATGCACTCTGTGTTGCTTCATTAAGAGTGATGATGTTTAAATGAGGCTGCCGCTGTCAAAGTGAACCCTCCACTGGCACATTTACATATTTAATACGATGATATGATAATCCATGTGAGCAAATTAAGATGTATGCTGCGAATCATCATATGCATGAGCAATCACGGCTGTAACAGTTTTGTGCATTGGATGCAGCACAGGCACAATCCTCCCCATAAACACCCACACCGTAAGACCGTTTGAAGCACTTATTGTGTTCAAGAGCCACCCCCTTGCCTTAAACACACACACACAATAGCACCTGACATGCAGAAAATTAAAACGCAGAGCCAATGCAGAGGAGTATTTGGTTGCTCACAGGTCATAGAAGGAGGTCTGGATTAATAAAGCGGAGCCTGTGTGCTCATCTCTCAACATCAGAATGCTCAGCACAAGCACACTCTATACACTGAGTCAGAGAGCGGACTGTGTCAGGGAAAGCAAAGAGAGAAACAGTAAAGCAAAGAAAATAGAAGATGTAAAAGCAATCATGCAGGTGGCAGGGACAAATGGGAGTTTTCAAAAGATGAAGCCGGAGTGGATGCTGGTCTTTAGGTTCTTGCTTTCATATAAAAAACCCATCAGAACATTTGAATAGAAAATGTGTTTGAATAGGTTAAACATTAATCGATGTGCGCTCAAAAGTTAATCAATCTTACTGTTGCTGAGCCTTTTTATACATTTTCCCCCAACGTTATCCTGGGAACTGTCATGTGTGTGTTCTCTTACAGGGAAACAGTCTGGCATCATTGTGTGTGCTAGTACATAATGTTTGGATAGCAGAAAGCAGATAGAGGGATAGTGAGACTGAGACGCAGCGAGAGAGATACATTCCCCCAGCTTACTAATAAGAATTTAGCATTACTTTAATAATTTCTCTATCAGAAATGTTATGTGTGTTGGTTAAAAGTGAAGCAGCATTCAGATATCATTATTTTCTTTCAATCCTCTCCCCTCAAGGTGGTGTACAAGAACAACGATGTACGGTTGGAGCTGTCTAGACTGGCTAAACAGGGAGACCCCAAGATGAAGGTATGCGCTTTAATCAACACGCCCCAACAAGCCAGACAATGCTGGATCCCCTCAAACACAGACGCCTTTTTGTAGCTCAACCTCATGTCTCGCCCTGTGAGACTCACACTGTAGCGATGTAAATGGGATTATATATTTGAGAGGTAGCCACAAGCTTTTATCTTTTAGCCATTTCACAGCTGGAATCTGGCTTTATTTCGGTCTCAGACTACAAAGGAACCATACTGGTCCAGATAGTCACTACAGCAATTTAACAACTCAACTGTTTTCTGTACCAGGTAAGTGGGGTGGTGTCCTTTAAGTGTGAGAGTGTAGCAACGCTAGACCCCGTGACGTTTGACACCCCAGAGTCTTACGTGGCACTGAGCAAGTGGACAGCGAAGAAGGCGGGATCCATCTCGTTTGACTTCAGGACGACAGAGCCCAATGGGCTGATGCTTTTCAGCCACGGCAAACCCCGGCAGCAGCAGCGCAAGGATCCGCGCACACCTCCAACCGTCAAGGTAAAAAAACCCATTCTAGGCTAACTGTATATTGGCCTGTCAGGCTGTAAGAAAAGTTGAAATAAATTTTAATGACAGTGTTGATGTTTAGCAGCTATATTTTGGGTCACTATAGTACAAATTGCAGAAGTTCATATGAGTTACTTTAGTTTTGAAGGGGTGTAGCCAAAAAAAGTATTAGGTATTATCAAAGTATACATTTTTCAAAATTCTGATGAAATAGTACAAAATCCATCTAGCCATCTACAAAATCCATTTATGAAGAACAGAAATTAATTTAGAATATATTTTGTAGAATATTATTGGCTGACCACTCACATACTGCAAGGTGGCTAAATTCATCTCATTAATCTTTTTAGTCTGCTGGATGTTGGAATGATTATCTAGATAGATATGAAGGGATGTTACTTATGAAGAAGGTGGAATGGTCCACTAGTAAGTATACGAACAGTAAGTGGAACAGCGTGCGGGCGTTCAATTGAGCTGTTTTAATGAAGTTTATTCCTCCAACGCACCTGTCGCTTATTAATGTGTACAAAGATTTTGCATCTGAAAATTCAGTTCATTAAAACGGCTACCTTTAATCATCCTCTCTAACAGGGCAGTGACTTTATAATCGTGACTGATATTCTGAGCGTTTGCTGCAGAACGATTTTAAACAAACGAAAGTCTCCACTTCTACAAATTCAAGATGAATAGTTTATTAATGAGAATTCAAAAAGAAGTAAATTGAACAAATTGCACTCATGTCACACCTGCAACTATAATTTGCATTTTCACAGCTTACACAAATGTTCCTGTTTGGGGTTTTTTTTTACACCTGTCTCTGGTTAATCTACAGGTGGACTTTTTTGCTATTGAGATGCTTGATGGACACTTGTACTTACTGCTGGACATGGGCTCAGGAACCACCAAGACCAAGGCCATCGACAAAAAGGTCAATGATGGAGAATGGTACCATGTTGACTTCCAGAGAGACGGACGCTCAGGTACAATCGCAGCTCTTTTAATTCTGAAGCTAATAGCAAAAGTTGAACTGACAGTAGATGTGCAGATTTTGAAGCAAGCAGCAGATTAACATGACCAATTTTGCAACCATCTGCATTCTGTATCTATTTAATTCACCTGTTTCATTTTAATCTGACTTTAGGGGGTTTTATTTTGACAATTTTAACCCAATTCATATACAGCAGGCCTGTCAAGTTTATTGTTCATGTGCTGGTATAATTACACTCAGACTAAAATTAAAGCTTTTGGTGGCCTGTTTCGTATCCAACTGGTAGACCCATTAATGTTACTTGACATCATAATCACATTTGCTCTAAACCTTTCCTTTCTGTCACAATTACTGTCAGTAGGTATGTAAAACATACTTGCACAATGTCTTAAAATCATTTTACAGTTACAGTTATGTGCAAAAGTCTTGAGCCGCCCATCATTTCTTTATACTTTGCTGCTAAGGACCCAGATTCTCTGGTAAGTCTATCGAGTGCTGTGCAAAGTCTTGAACAACACTTCCCCAGGCTTTCTGAAGGTCTTGCGAAGTTTTTCATTGAACATTCATTGCTTGTTAATTTATTGTTAATCCAGTTCTTGTACTTGTACTTGATCACTGTCAGAGGAATAGTTTTTTTAAAGCAATTTAAGACTGGCCTATGAATCACTAGATTTGTTGTGTCTATGCATAACAGAAAAATTAGCAAAGAACCCATTTTAAATTGTATCTTTAGGGATCTTTAGGGTTATTAACTGCCTGTTGCAAAAATACATAATTTGTTCCAAATGTTTTTAAATTTAATCAACTCCAAATACCAAAGGTAATACAATTTGGGAGGCATAAAATAGTATTTTTGCACCAACAAGGTGATTCCCAAAAGAGCCAAAAACTTTCTGTATGGTGTGTACTGTGTTGTAAAAAGTGTAGGGACAAATTGGACAAGTGAGGACAAACGAAGAGGTGGAAAAAAACTATCTACAGCATATGAACAGCATCTGACAGTTATGTCAAAAGAAAAGGAAACAAATGCAGATACAGGACCTGTGAGATCTGGCCTTTCTGCCAGATCCATCTACTTTCCTACTCTTCTTACTTGTAATCTGACAAAAGAGAGAGTTACAGTAGTGAGTGTCTGTAATTGATGGAGGCTCTGTCATGGTTAGTGACTGCATTTCATCCAGTGATTTTGTTAATTTTGTTAAAATTGATGGAATTATGAACACTGAAAAGTACCATTAGATTTTGATCCACCATGCAATACCATCTGGAAAGCACCTGATTGCAAATGGCTTCATTTTTCAGCATGACAATGATCACAAAAACAAATTACCAATGCAGTGAAAGCATACCTGGATTAAAAAACACACAATGAAACACCATCAGTCATTGATTGCACTCCCCAGTGCCTGGACCTCAACTTTATTGAAGCAGTGCGAGATCATCTTGACTGAGAACATTGCAAAAGGCAGCAGACATCTAAGGAAGAGGTTTGAAGTGGCCTTTAAGAAGCCCGGAGAACTATTCCTGAAGACTGCTTAAAGAAATTAAAAGAAAGCTTGCCATTGAGTTAAGGCTGTGTTGAAGTGTTGTTAAACTCATTAGAATTGTACAAGCTCTGTTTTTGCCTTACACATACTCTATTTCCATGCATGTTTGCAGGTGTTTTAATGAATTGGTGCTCCTATTTTTCCATTTTCCTAGCAAAATATAAAGAAATGAGGGGTGACTTTATACTTTTGCACAGTACTGTACAGTTCTATTACAGATGGGGATGTTTTACACATGTCAGCCTGTTATGAGCATATAGTTATTGCTTCAAACTCTGTGTTAATTACAGAGGTCTGTAGAAGCTGCCTTTCCTCTCAGTGGGAATCCTATTTGTTTGCTCCAACCGTGCGTTACTGTTCCAAAAGGAAATATATTATTAGCAAAAAAAATGTTAAATGTGGCATTTTTTAACTCACAGGGACTACCTGAGGACTGTGTAGAATTTCAATTACTTCTGATTGTAGCTGTGATTTGTGGTGGTGGTGGTGGTGATGAGGAGGAGGAGTACAAAGAGAGGCGCAAGGATGATGATGATAAAGATGATAATGATGGCACTCATAATAGTGATGCTGGTGGTGGTGATGGTGCTGGTGATGACAGTCGTGATTGTGATGAGGATGTTCACGCTGAAGGTCATAACAATTACTGAAGTTGTTTTGATGTCTGGCGGCGTGTTCAGGAACTATTTCGGTGAACAGCGTAAGAACAGCATACACGGCCCCGGGAGACAGTGAAATCCTGGACCTGGATGACACCTTGTACCTCGGAGGTTTACCTGAGGATCGCGCTGGACTCATCTTCCCAACAGAGGTTTGTGTGCTTATATGATAAGCATTCTAGGTCAAATAATTAAAAGAAAATTTCCAGCAAACATCAAACCTTTGATTCCTCACTTTTTCCTGTGTTTTAATATAGTCAGTGTGGGTGTTTAGGACTGGCAGATGATGTCTAGATGATGCTCTAGTAAATTGTGGCAGTTGCAGACAATTATGAATAACCTAAACCCTCCGTATTAAATTTTTTTACCTACATTAACAGAATGTCTGATTCTGCTGGCAATTTACTTACAATATGCAGATTTTTTTCTTCTTTTTTTGTAACATTGACAAAGTTAATTTCAATAAAGTCCAGCATTCCAAAGCTGGATGAGAATGTGCGAGAGAGCTGTTAACAACTCGCAGCCTGTTACTTGTAATCGGACAAACGTGTAGGTTTTACGCGTGTTTCTCCCAGGAAACAGCATGACATCACAGACCAACGAGAAGCAGTGGAAGTTTTCTGCGGTAGAATCGGAGGCGTTGGAGGAGGTGTTTCACAAGTTCATTAAAATACATCAAAACAGCAAGGTCCCACTTGTTACAAAGAAGCAACTTTAACACCATTGTGGGCACAGTAAAAAAGTGCCATGCAGAGAGGAAGTTTAAAATAGATGCTATGACCTAAAGAGGTACACTAAAAAGAAGTCATTGTTTATAGTGCTTGTATGGTTGGCAGTGATCTGGGGGAGAAAACTGTGTGCTGTCCATGGTCCTGAAATGTGAAAAAACAGCAGGGAGTTTGAATGTCATGAAGCTGAATTTTGGGTGGCACAAAGCCTTAAAAGGATTTATGAAAAATGTATCTTTTGAATTTTAAATTAAGAACCAGAGGACGAAAAATAAAAGTTTGAAAGAAACATTTTGGTTCCACCTGCATTGAATGCTTTCTTATAGTTCAAGGTTTCAGATCGTTTTTGATTTCCTCCAGCAGATTACGAAATAATTTGCCATGGCAATCAGCATGTCTTCACTTCTCCTGGCATTCACATATATTAACACAATTGGAGAAATTTCTTTAGCTTGCAGCATGTGTTCTCTATTCTTGGCAACATCTAACCTTGTCAAGCACAGAGTGACTTAACATATCCTTTTTTTATTTCTTTTGCTGTCTTTCACCTCTTATTGTTAGTAATTTGGTAGTATTTTAACTCCAGGGTAAAACTGACCGTAAGTCTCCAGTACTTAATCAATAGTGATTTAATTTACTGACCACAACTTACTGAGTGAATTTACTGAGCAGCAACTTACTGAGCACTTGTGTCTGCTAATCGAAAGGTCGGCGGTCCCTAGCTCTTCCTGCCCACATGCCGTAGAGTATTTACCAAAGACACTGAACTCCAAATTGCATCCACTAGAGTATGAGCATGTATGTGAAAGTTAGAAAAACGTAAGGCATAGACTAAAGAGCTGAATGAATGGGTGAATTGGGCTGGTAAAATTACCATTTAAAACATATTCCCAAATATGCAGATTATTTGATTATTATGTTCTTGTTTTTGTTGTTTATACTTCTTTCTCCTTTTGGCATGGACATGGAATTTTCATTTGTTTTTCCTGATGTTTTATCAGTTAATTGAGAAAACAACTGGCGGGCCTATAATTGAAATTGATTTAAAAAAATTATATTTGGGGAACCTTTTATGTTAACAATAATAATAGGTATATAAAAAAAATATTAAACTAACTTTTAAAAAAATGCAGCTTATGCATTTTGCAGTCTTTTTACTCATTTTTTGTTTTTAGATTAATACCTTTTAACATGATGTAGTGCTTTGTAAAAAAATAAATAAAAAAAAAAAAAAAGATTACCCCAATACCTGATTTATGCAAAGTGTGTAAGAAATAAAAATACATCATGATGAAATAAATAAAAGCTGTACGGTGATGATACAAACATTATTTGTTTGTATTTAGTTTTGCAACACACACTGCAAGAGTTTTGACAAATATCCAGTAGTCATGACTCAACACTGGCATCCTCTTTCTTCAGGTGTGGACGGCGCTGTTGAACTACGGGTACGTAGGCTGCATCAGAGATCTATTTGTGGACGGGCAGAGCAAAGACATCCGGCGGCTGGCTGAGGCCCAGAGGGCGGTGGGAGTGAAGCCCTCATGCTCCAGAGAGCCGCCCAAACAGTGCCTGTCCAACCCCTGCCAGCACAACGGTATCTGCAGGGAGGGCTGGAATCGCTATGTGTGTGACTGCTCTGGGACGGGCTACCTGGGACGCTCCTGTGAGAGAGGTGAGAATAACAGGGTAGGAGGCTGGGGACGAAGAGCAAGAGAAATGCTAATGTCTCCTTTTCACAATGGAGATGAGTAAGAGGGTTAATTAAAGTCAATGCACAGCCACATTGGGTGAAAACTTAATAACATGTCATGATGCAAATTGTAGTCATCATGACAGCTTTGTCATTTGCTTTTTTGCCTGAGAACACTGAGTAATGCCAAAGGCATGAGTGACAGATGATGTGGGGTGGAAGTACAGAAGTCTTAAGATCAAAAATAAATCAGCTGCTGAGAATATGTTGTGATCATTTGGTTGTAAAAATTTGTGACTTTGAATTATGCTTTTTCACTCATAGCAGATTAAATTAGTGTGATAGGTGCATTAAAAAAGGTGCACTCGTAAAATAAAACAGTAGATAAAAATGTGACTAAAGCATTATTTCATTTTTTTTAATGCTGAAATCAGATGTCCCGATGTGTTTACTTTGCACTAAATCCCTGGTGATGGAGTGTAGGAAGCTGAAAATAAAAAGAGGAGTAGATACTGTATGGATAGGTGAAGATAAAAAATGAAAAAAATTAGTCTGCTAGCTCACCAACAAAAATAATAACGGTGCAGGTTTTCTATCTTTGGCTGTATTTTTTGTTTATTTAAGAATACACATTTTCTGTACCAAAGAAAGAGTAGTGGGAAAGGAGAGAGGAAACAGAGGTCGAGGAGAAGAGGTGGGAAGGAGCAGGGCTGCAGACAGCACTATTGGAGTGCTATGGATGCAGTGACTGGGAATCGATGGGAGAGGAAGTGAGCAGAAAGCAGGGAGCAGGAGCTGTGACAGAGGAAGGTGGACTCACCGGGCTGGAACCGCCATATGACAGCGGGTGAGGAGATGAGGAGGAATGGGAGATGGGAGAAGAAAATCTGACAGAGAGAGAGAGAGTTATGAGAAATGGTATGAGACCAGGGCGGGGGAGAAATGGAAAGCAGGAAAGATTGGCAGAGGGACTGATACAGGCCTGTTTGAAGAAGCGAGATGGGAGTCAGACAAGAAGAAGAGAAGAAATGTTGTTTGTGCCATAACCGCTGATGCGTCTCAAGTGATGATTGTACTATCATCTAGCAGGAGATATGCCCATGCAGACTCACACACAGGCTTTCTGAAAGGAGTTGATATGAAAATGTTTTATTCCATAGGACAAACATCCACAGTGTGTATGTTTATCATAGCAATGCAGCATCTATCGCTTTCTTTTCCTTAGCTCTGTGTATATCTTACTTCATCCCACTCTGTGTGCACTGAGGGGTCACTAACTGGTGGTTCAGTGGATTAAAGGAAGCCCAGATGGAGAAGCAGATGGAGAGAGTGATTGGCCATGTTTATGCCTTCTACCTGCGGTGTCTCCCTCCCTTTTTTCCCCTCCCTCGTTCTCTCTCTCTCTCTCACTCCTTTGTTCCCCCTCTCTCTTCATTAATGAACGAAGATGCTCGCCACGCTCTGGCTCCGAGATTACTTTTATTTTTTAATGACACATTTTAATGGCGAGTATAATGGGAGTAGTAAAATGACGAATTTGAATTTATGGCTAAGAATTATTACTTTTCAGTCAAAAAGATGACATGTCAAGATTTTCTAGGATAAATTGTGCTTTTTTAAATGTCAACAGGGGTTGATACTCACATCACTCTGCTGCTAGGGCGGTGTGCGTGAGTGTGTGTGAACCCGGTGTCAAATAGTGGCTATTATATTTTTATTGCTACACTGTGACCACTGTGCAAATGTTAGCAGATGTTTAGCCTGGTTTTTATTTATTGAAATGTTTTGGGGAGGGGGGAGGGGGAGGGGGGGTTCAGTTGCAGATAGTTTAGTTCATATTGGATGTGTCGACAAAGTGACTTAAAGTAGCCTGACATGTTTTTTACTTAACAACTTTGCAAGAACAAATCAAGTTGGAAATGAGGGTAAGAAAGTTAGAAGGCATTGAGAGATATGCTGGGATCTGATTTTGGGATTTTCGGGGGATCGATGACATGAGAAGAAAAAATGCAGAATGTGGCTGGTCTTATCCTTTACTTATTCTGTTTGTATGGTCCATCTGGTGTGTGCTACAGGCGTCAAATGATGCAACAGTATGTGACACAGCCAGCGTGCATTGTATCGTCAGTCTTTTTCTTTCCCCAGCATGAACGGGCTTCCATACTTTTCTTCTCACCAACCCTCTATCCTCTGTTTGCCTGGTAGTGAGTCAGGTGCTGTGATGAGGAAAATTTAGTCAGCTGTCTCCCTTATCAGAAACGTGTTCATGTGTGTGCATGCGCAGGGGCGGGTGTATGTGTGGCTGTTAGTTATGTTATGTGTGATATAACAGGCCAACCACCTTCTTTTTTTCCTCAAGTTAATGAGGGTTCATTTGCATTTTAGCCAGGAGCTTCTCTCCCTTTCCCCATCCTCCTTTCTCTCTTTCTTGCTCCCCCCACCCCCCCCAGCCCCACTCTCACTTTACTAAACCCCTCTCTGTTCACACTTAAATTCACTCACTTATTCTGACATGCACGCACACACACGCACACTGTCTCTCTCTTTCCCTCCTTCTCGGCTCATCAGTATTCATGACGCCTTCCTCTCTTCCTGTTCTCTTGTTTTTGCCTTGGCTCAAACCGTCTCCCACAGAAACAGGGAGAGTGAAAAGGGGAGAGAAGGCAAAGGAGGAATGGAGTGGAGAGATATAAGAAGAAGGGAAGAAGGAGGAGAGATAAAGACACAGAGGCATGGAGAGTGTGTTTAGCTGTGTATGTAATTGGCCAATAAAAAATAGGGTCCTCAGAGGTAAACAGTTTAGCAGTCGGGGATTGGCCCCAGCAGGAAGCAGGGAGAGAAGATTATGAATATGTAAATGAGTATGCAAAAGACATTAAAGCAGGTTCACCTGAGCTTGTTACATTATGACTCCAGGGTCTGAGATGTCAGTGACGATGGCTAACACATTCAACACCATGCATTCTGATTGAACCGGATAATAGGGCCAGCCAACCAGCTGCGGCTATTTTTACATACTCCTCTCAAAGGCGGAGGGAGTGATGATGAATTAAGAGTGGAAAGCGATGGGATCATTTTGTAGAAAGGTTTTCAACATGTATTGGCGGGGGAACCAGCAAAAGTGTAACCACGCAGTAACATACTTTGTCATGTTTAAATCTGATTCATTCAGCGTCAGATTGCCTTTCCCTCCACCCACCTCATGTGTTTTTTCCTTGTCAATCATCCTCCTTTTTTCTCTTTCTACCCACCTCACCCTCCTCTGTCGCCATCTCTCTCTTCCTTCTCCATATCTCTCTTTCTCTCTCTCTCTGTGGATCATGTGCAGATGCAACTATCCTGTCGTACGACGGCAGTAAGTTTATGAAGGTGCAGTTGCCTGTGGTGATGCACACTGAGGCGGAGGACGTCTCGCTACGCTTTCGCTCCCAGCGGGCCTATGGCGTTCTCATGGCAACCACTTCCCGTAATTCCGCAGATACCCTTCGTTTGGAGCTGGATGGGGCCCGTGTCCGACTTACTGTCAACCTAGGTACACAGATGTTCACAAACACATAGAATCTCAAGCATTACTTTAATTACCTGTCATGGGAATGCAGCTGATACTGGCCTCTTGGTAATTTCTTGCATAGAAATGTCATTAACTGTTGATTAATAACTTTTTGTCCCGGTAAACTCAAAGGAGCCCTATTATGCTTTTCTTATTTTCTGTCATATATACATATATACTGTTGCGATGGCCAAAATTTAGTGCTCACCGTTATGGCACACCACTCTAGTGTGAGCACAGAAGCCCTACCTGACTGCTTTTGTTTGTGAGGGGCAGCCAATCAAAAGAAGAGAAGGAAAAGAGAGGTAAAATGGATTGTTTTGGGAAATGGGTAAACCGGGGGACTGTGCAAAAGTTGAGTATTAGATAAAGGAACACAAATTTGAAATGTGAATCATGCAGAACTCATTCACTACCTAGAGTAATGGAAAAGTAGAGCACCAGAGTCCGAGGCTAAAAATATATAGCTGGAAATGAGCATGAGAGGTCCCTTTTAAATTAAAATTCTCAGTAATTCCAATAAATATTTCAGCTAATTTTGCTGCAAGTATGCACAAGAGATGGATTTCACTGCTTCAGCAGATATGTTGCACAGATTACATGCACACATGCAAATATAAACAGCTAAAGGTTATTGGTTTTGTGTTGAACAGAGGGTCAAGCCTCAAGCTGCATTCTCTGCTCACTCCCAGCAGACCTGTGCATCCCCAACACCTTCAACAAACAACACAAACGCACACGCACATGAATACTTTGCACATTTTGCAGCCTGAGATAACTGCTAAGCACTTTTTCAGCCTCATTTTTTCCACAGTCACACACTTTCACGTGAATTCATTTACATGCTAACACACACATCCTTACAGAGGGGTGCATGTGTTGGTCTCTGGTTGTCTGCAGCCACGTCTTTTCTGTGGTTGACGCCACTCGACACACCAAGGCATCATGGGGTTTTTTAAAAAAAAAAAAAGGTACAGGGGCTGAATCTTCCAACCATTTACGGAGATTCGCGCTCTGGATAGGCGACAAAAATTATGGGATGTGTTCAGAGTCGTTAGACAAAACTGACACACATAACCCATCACAGTCTACCCACGCTTTTTATTGGTGACTGAAGCTGTCGCTCAGGCCAGAGCAGCCAATGAGCACACCAGTCATGCTGTGACACACCGCTCTCTTTATTGTGCTCAAGGTAAAAATCCATCAGTCTTTATTCAGATTTTTCCTTTTATTGGCTACAAAATAAAAATCGAAGAAACTGCATTTGCTGCACATTGTCCAGGTCCAGCTTGTGGTCCTGTGACAAACAAGGGGCGTGTGTTTTCTCAGCATTGTGTGCGTGTTTGTATATGCATGCAGGGTGTGTCGATGTGTGCATCCCCAGGGCGTGGAGAGTATGTGTATGTGTGCAGCATTAACCCTCTGCTCTGCTCTCCCTCCAGACTGTATCAGGATAAACTGTACAGCCAGTAAGTGATCCTCCATCTCACCTAACTCCCCCCCCCCCCCCCCCCCCCCCCCCCTTTCCTCTACCTCCTCAGAACGTGTGTGCGCCGTTGTGTGTATGTGCTTTTATAAATGTGTGTGGCTGTTTTTCATGCTGTGTATCATGTCAGTTCATTTAATCTTCTTTCAACATATTTTTGTACCATTTGTCTATGTGCAGATATGTGTGTGAGTGTGCATGTGTGTATGTGTTTGACGGGGGAGGTGCACATATGCGTGCGATGTTCAGCTACACTGCAGGAGAGGTGCGATTTTTGCTGAGGGCCAGGGTTTTCCAGGTCGGCCATTTTAGCAAAGAGGGATCGATGGCAGAGAGAGAGAATGAGAGAGGATGGTGGGGGTTGAAGGAAGGAGAAAATAAAAGAAAGAAGAGAAGAAGAAACCTTGTTTAAGGCGTTTAAGTAAAATTAGGTGTGCTGATAAATAAGAGGTACGGAAGTAGAGAGTGGAAGCTGGTGGATGACTACAACTTAGAGCTTCGGGGTAATTACTTCTCCTTCATGCCGGAGACAAAAGACATGTTATCCCTCTGTTTCTCTCTGTCGCACCTTCATCCCGACGTCTGTCGGGTTGTTTTCTTTGTTTGCTTGTTGTTTCTCTCTAAACTGTACATGAGGGATTTTTGGGTAGTGTTTCGTTTAGTGGGTTTTGGCGTGTGTGCTTGTGTGAGTGCCTTTGCATTCTGTAGTCTTTTCATTGCCCATCTGTGTGTCTGTGTGTGTGTGTGTGTGTGTGTTTTCTTTAGTGTGTGTTCCTGTTCATGCTGCTGTGAGTGGAGCTGAATCCCTGATGAAGTTTAATTCCCTCACGTGGAGTTTCTCTCTGTCACGACCACAGAGAAAGCAGGAGAGTGAGAGAGAGCGAAAGAAGCGGATGCTCTGTGACGGCAAAGAGGTGGTGAAATGGACGACTGCTGTTGCCATAGAAACCCTACTAGCCACACAGCACTGTTGCTATTCCGCATGTCTGCTGGCCAATTTTAGACCAGTTGTCTCAATGAACATTTTAGTAGGCAGCCACTTTTCTGGCACACCGTGTGCATACAATAAATTATACATATGATATTCAAGGGGGAAGGGGGGGGAATGTATTTAACAGGCAGGCGCCAGTGAAATAGTCCACTCAGCAGTCAAATAAAAGCCTCGGCATGGGAGAGATTTGAGGCGTATCCTTCAGAAAAGCCATTTGTTATTTGGAGCTAATGAAATATGAAACACTTTTTTTTTGTTTTGTTTTCATTGTCCTGCTTTTATAATGTCTCGCATGTCATTTGGCTTAAATTATATTTTCCAAGCAACAATCAGCCTCCCTTATGTTTTTTTTGTTTGAGTCATTTCTCATCTTTTGCTTTAACCTCACAGGCTGTTTGCTGACCGCCACAGCCTTCACTAGTAACTCACTGAATGGCTTTTTAACGCTGACCCAGAATAGGTGTGTGTGTGTTTCAGTGTGTGTGTGGGTGTGTTTGTGTGGGTGCATTTGTCTCTCCCTCCCAGGTTAACACAGATCACTGCTTCACTGTCACATCAGTCTGCTCGTTTTTTGAGTATTCAGTTACTACTCAAAAAACTCCACGCATACACACATGATAAACTCGCACATACATGCACATACTCTTTCCCTCACTCAGTGCAAGGCAATGATCCATGGTAACAGGATGAGATGCTCATGCCCAGAGCACAGCTGAGTCTCCTCAGGGGAACCCTCTGTGCTCTCCGAGTGCACCAACACACTCTTTTAGCTTCACAATTGCACACACACATTTCACACCACATCCATTTTGATTGATTTAATTATGTTTGCGTGTCGGCAGCCTGTACATCCACATTTCTTTACCTCTCTACCTGTGTTCATATGTGTGTGTGACTGTGTGGGACTGTATGTGTGTGCCTGTGTGCCTCCGTGATTGATGTCGGCATGCTTGACATTTTCTGCAGCAGAATTCGTTCGGGTCAGTTTACTTCTCACCTCCCCCGTCATTACCGCCTATAGGTCACTGTAAGCAGACTCTCAAAGCAAGTAGAGGGAAGGGGAGTATGTGTAAGTGTATGCGTGTGTGTGTTGGGAGGTAGTGGGAGTTGCGCTCAAGGTTGGTGGGGTGCTTGTAAAGAGTAGAAGCAAGGGGACACTGAGGATTGGGGAACAGTCAGCCTGTCAAATGTGTGCAGTCAACTATGTGAAGATATGAGCTGGTAGATGAGCAAAGAGAGAGAGAGACATCACGAGAGGACAGCTCAGCTTCTTTCATTCTGCAGCACATCAGCACCTTGGAGAGCACGCTGATGTTCCACTGTGTGTCTAGTGCCACCATGAGGCTGACTGCAGCATTGCATAAGCAAATCTCCTACATTCAGGCACCTGAACAAGTATAAGTGTGGAGGCGAGAGGGCTGTTGGGTGGTCAAGGGGGTCTGAATTTGCTGTCTGTGCATGTGTGGGTTGTAGGAGAACGTCATGGCGGTGTGATCTGTCCACAGATGGATTGTCTCAGCGTGGGCCTGTTGTGACTCACAGTCTCCAGTCTTAGACACCCCCAACATCCATTTATGTTAATCCTTCTGTCTGTCTGTGTCACGTCATCTGTCTCTCTTGTAAATCTGCAAAGAAGCCTGTCTGTCTATATGTCTGTTTGTCTGGAAAGAGTGCGTTAACACTGAGGTGTTTGTCTCCCCAGGGTATGAATGGGTCCTTCCCCTGCTACTATTAGCTTCCATTTTCTCAGTTTCTGTCCTTAATTTTTTACTCAAACTACCTGGCTCTCTTCTTCTCCTTCTTCTGGTTCTTTCTCTGTATCTGTTTCTCTTTCTGTCTCTCTCCTCATCTTTATGCAATATGTTAATGGTGCTCTGGGCTATGTGTAGGTAAAGGCCCAGAGACCATCTTTGCTGGGTCAAACCTCAATGATAATGAGTGGCACACGGTGAGGGTAGTCCGGCGTGGCAAGAGCCTCAAACTCACCGTGGACGACCTGCAGCCTGCTGAAGGTAACCACAGCAGCCTGACTTATTTTTTGTTTTCTCCCCATAAAATGACACTTTTTCCAGGTCTTAAGTTGGAGTGTAGACATCCACTTGAATTCTGTGTTGAACATTAAGGGGTTTATTTCTTTTTTAGAGAGCATCTGTACCTGAAAGCAATCATACTGAATTGTGATCGTGGTCATGATAGTGTCTACTTTAGTACTAGTCTGTCTTTTATTCATAGTGAGGATGTTGAATAAATAATAGTTTTAGTTTTAGTGTTGAACAGTTCCACCTGAAACCCACCTTTCCAAAGCCCTCACCTCTTAAGTTTACCCCGCCACCAGGTCAGATGGCGGGTGACCACACCCAGCTGGAGTTCCATAATGTGGAGACGGGCATTGTGACCGAGAAACGCTTCATGCCTGCCGTGCCCTCCAATTTCATCGGCCACCTTCAGGGCCTGACGCTGAACGGCATGCCCTACATTGACCTGTGCAAGAACGGCGACATTGACTACTGCGAGCTCAATGCTGTTATCGGTTATAAGAGCATTGTGGCCGACCCCGTCACCTTCCGATCCCGCTCCAGTTTTGTCACCCTGCCCACGCTGCAGGCCTATTACTCCATGCATCTCTTCATGCAGTTCAAGACGACGTCCCCAGACGGTCTCATCCTCTTCAACAGAGGAGACGGCAATGACTTCATAGTGGTAGAGCTGGTTAAAGGGTGAGCTGGACAATAAGTTGTGTGTGATTTACCTTAAGTCAGTCATTGTCAAATAAAATATAAAATATTACTCATAAAAGGCAGTTTTACTTGTTCATGTTAATGTTTGTCCTGCAGAAATTTATAATTTACTATTAAGATCGTCCTCGATGAACAAAAAAATAAAATTTCTTGACTTTAAGGATGAAATGGGCTGTTAAGTGTACGATATGAAAAATGCACAAGTCACGCAGCTCTTTTTTTATTCTTGTAATTAAGCTTCTAAAAGACAGATAATAATGCCCCGGAGCAGATGACCCTGTGTTGTTCTTCATCACACGTACGATTAATTTCCCTTTTCACTTCTCAGTTATTTAATCCCCTCCCCTCTCTTTTTCTTTTTCCTTCTCTAGCTACCTTCACTACATCTCTGACTTGGGCAACGGAGCACACCTGATTAAGGGCAACTCTAACAGTCCTCTTAATGACAACCACTGGCACAACGTGCACATATCCAGAGACACTAACAATCTCCACACAGTCAAGATTGACACCAAAGTCACCACACAGACCACCATGGGTGCCAAGAACCTTGACCTAAAGGGTACGCAAAAATAAAGGCATTCAAAGTTAGATACTGAAGCTGACACGAGATAAATCTTAATTATCTTAATCTGACCTTTATCAGGTAAAATTCTTTGCATTATTAATGAGACCGTATACCGTAATACGCGCACCTCTTTTTGTTTGAAACACAAACTAGCTGTTTTTTGTGGAGGTTGTGTGCCAGACTACTTCTGAGTCAATGAAGTTGGAGGTGTTGTTACCTTGAGCAGAACCAGGCTAGCCGTATCTCCCTGTTTCCAGCCTTTGTAGTAAACAAAGTTCAGTCAGACAGCTCACGTTTAAACTGATTTGTTACAGCAGCAGCATGCAGCTTGGCAGACACTCTCTGAGCTCATCACTCCCATTGAATATGTTAAATATAAAATTGGGAAGTGATGAGTAAACATCCCCCTGGAGTCTACAGGTGCATGCTGGGATGGTGAAGGGATTGCAAACAGCAGACAGTGATGTAGGGCAGTAGTGGCACTGACATGTCAGAGGGAAAGGTAAGAAATTTTGTAGCTTAAATAGAGTACCAAATTGGGAGGGTGTGTTTGGTATATGATGTGAGGAGAGTTATGTTTCATGTACATGAGGCAGCGCAGATCCAGTAGTCTGCCCGAACCAGCTTCTGGAGGTAGCTACTTATTACCATACAGATATGAGAGTAGTGTCTTTTTTTATTCTAACTCTAATTAAGAAAGCAATTAAACACTTTTATTTTAAAAAAAAATTAAAGGGTAAAAACATGCAAAAACAATTAACCTAGTGTAATTTATCAGGCTAAATTAAATTGGTACTATATATAACTAACTGACTAACTGAAGATATTTGGCTGAGCTCACTGAACTTGTGATAAAACTGCTATGTGATTAGATCAATTAGTTGATAAAGTAATTTATAATTTATTGCAATTAAATTATTGATGCAAAACTAGACAGTTCATGTTTGCTTTGTGAAGCTGCCATTCACTCTATTGCTCCCCGACAGGTGACCTGTACATCGGGGGCGTTTCCAAAGAGATGTACCGAGACCTGCCTAAGCTTGTCCACTCCCGTGAGGGATTTCAGGGTTGCTTAGCAACAGTCGATCTAAACGGACGGCTCCCGGACCTTTTGGCTGATGCCTTGGCAACCATGGGACAAGTGGAGAGGGGCTGTGAAGGTGAGGTGCAGACAAAACGGCAGATCTGCTCCAGCCCCGTGTCCCAACTGCTTTTTCTTTCAGTTTTCATTTAAATCATGCTCTCTGTTATTAGCATAACCCACTAACCCAGCTCCTGGCCTGTTAGATGTAAACTTTACTCTCTTTCTTTTCATCTCCTCCTCAGTCTTTCTGCACATTGTGTTTTCTCTCTCTGATCCACTCTTTCAGTAGTTCACAGGCATCTGTGTGCATTGACTAACCATCTAACTTAATTTGCTTGTTTGCTTTTTTGTTTGGCTGACAAAAGTTACATTGATGAAAGCTGACTTGCAAGGTATATCGCTTTGTGCGAGCATGTAAGAGACACTTGTGTGTGTGTGATGCTGAGGAAATGTGTGTGCGCGTGTGTGTGTGTATGTGTGTGCGTGTGTGTGCGTGCGTGCGCACGTGTGTGCGTGCGTGTGTTTAAAACTACCCAGTGGTGTCCAGTGTTGTGTGGATCCCAGTGATCCAGAGTCAAAGGTCAGAGGAGACCTATCCTCTCCTAGCCACCGTAGTGATTTCATCACAGTAGCAACATTACCACTGCTTGACTTGAGTTGACCACAGCTCCACCACCTTGCAGCATGCTCTCTAACCTCTCTCCTACTGACTCCTAACCTGAACTTCAATGCTCCATTTGTGAATCATTTCACACTCTTTCCTCCTTGCCTTGTGTTGAGGGCAACGAAGGAGAGCTAAGTTTAGCACTTTGACATTCTCCTCCTCCTGAGTCGTTTAGCATGAAGCAGGGAGAGAATGGTGACCGACTGCTCAAGGAAGAGTATTGAGATGAAGGCCTTTAAACATAACTCTGCTCTCTTATGTTTAATTTCCCCTCCTGTCATTACCCCATTCCTTTAACCTCACCACCTGCATGCTCTCCACATTTGGCTCTTTTTACTGAATAACACACTTTAGGTTCATTCGTGTTTATACTGGATCCTGTTAGTGTAAAGCTAAAGAATGGGAGCCTTTCCACAACATCCTAGTCTGACTAATACTACTAATAATAACGTCATTACAGCACAAAAAACCTATTCAACCAACCAGTTTTTCAAGGAAATGCAGTTTAAAGATAACCACACTGTACTCTAATAATGTTGTAAACACATTGGGCTCCACACAAAACCAAATCCATGTGTCTTTTTCTATTTCCCTAACTTTTGCACCCTTCCACCCAACCACATCTGTCACTGCAGGACCCAGCACTACCTGCCAAGAAGACTCCTGCTCAAATCAGGGAGTTTGTTTGCAGCAGTGGGAGGGCTTCACCTGTGACTGCAGCATGACTTCATACGCCGGGCCACTGTGCAACGATGGTGAGTCTTTGCTTTTATGGTCTTTCCAAGGCCCAGGGGGGGTTACAGTTTTTTTGGTGGTGCAGACAGCTCAAGTGTAGAGTTTGTTATCTGCTGTATTCAAAGTAGATACCAACTTGAAAAACGTTATCTACCAGCATTTGGATCATGCTGGTTTAATCATGCATTTGCCTTTTGTTAGCAGGTTTGTTATCTGATTTAACCGAGTTAGGTGAATCACAGCGGCTGACTCTCTAAACTGCAAGAAATAAACCTAATCAAATCTTCACTGTGGTGCAGAACTGCAGATGTGAAAAATGCTGCAATCGGATGATTTGCTTTGAAACACCAAATCACAGCATCATCTTGTGCCTTTTTTCTCAGCCTCCACAGGAGGGCACTGTCAACTGTTGATTTTGATATTGTACAAAAATATCAATCCCTCAACTGGCTGTTCTATAGCGTGTCTATGTGTAGCATTAGATTAAAAATGTCTCCACGCTCCATAGCTTTAAACATTAATTCATCCTCCAGAACCTTAGAAGAGAGATATATGTAGGTTTTTAAGTCACCCTATGAGTCAAACAATTATATGATTTGTTATTTGGTTGAGTCACTTATACAGTCAGCCTCCTGCAGTAATGGTGATAAGTAATTTGGGAAACAGCCTGCAGAAGGACTTGTCAGAATAGAAAAGGCCAGTCAGCTGTGACATTTTAAGTTTTTTGTTATTATTTTCCAATATGCTCCTTGTGTTTAAAAGATTTAGCAAAACGTAGATTTACCAGCTGGAGTGGTCGACCTGTGATGGCAGATAACACCATCACAACACACAGATTTACCTGTAATTTCATTTTTTTTTATCTGTGTTGACCAGCTGGAACCACTTATATCTTTGCCCGTGATGGAGGCTTGGTGATTTACACATGGCCCCCTAATGAGCGTCCCAGCACCAGGGCTGACCGGCTTGCCCTCGGGTTCAGCACTCAACAGAAACATGCCATTCTGCTTCGGGTGGACAGCGCATCCGGCCTGGGAGACTACCTTCAGCTGCAGATAGTAAGTACAACAATTTGTCAAGGGTTATGTGATTTATCATTCTTTTGTAATATTTCTTGTTCATTTAGTCAGCTATTGCTACAGTAACCACACTTGTAATTAGATCTGTGTGCATTCAATATCTATTAACAGTATTCACTCTTCATCATAATACGATGGTCCACCACTCCAAATGACACATGTAATTATGGCAAAACCTTTACAGATTGTGTATTTTCCTTGTTTAAACCAAAACGACTTGTTATGAATTCTCATAAGGAAATTATATCTCACTATGAAAGAATTGGACACATTTATTCTTCCCTTCCAGTAACAGAAGCTATTTGTTTATTGATTCTGGGCTGCATAATTACATTAATTGATTTTTAGTGTAAAAATTAGTGATCATGCATAAAATGGACCTAATATACTAATTTCCAGCTCCTTATTTATATTATAGAAGGCTTCTATGAAGTACCTCAGTTCAACCAACAATCTGGTAATGTTCTCTCTTTAAGTCAACTTTCTTCTGATTGGCTCTCTCACAAACAGAAGGTTTGGAGAGCCACCTGTCTGAGATGACATAAAAAGTAGAAACAACTGTCTTTAGCTGAGTGTTAAGAGCAGTATGAAGCTTTAGCTTTGGGATCATGAGGATTCCTTGTTCATAGCCTGACTTCATTATTTGAAACTTGGG